CATTAATATATCCCTTGATAAAACAGTATTATACATTAATATATCCCTTGATAAAACAGTATTATACATTAATATATCCCTTGAGAAAACAGTACTATACATTAATATGTCCCTTCATAAAACAGTATTATACATTAATATATCCCTTGATAAAACAGTACTATACATTAATATATCCCTTGATAAAACAGTATTATACATTAATATATCTTTTGATAAAACAGTATTATACATTAATATGTCCCTTGATAAAACAGTATTATACATTAATATATCCCTTGATAAAACAGTATTATACATTAATATATCCCCTGATAAAACAGTATTATACAGTAATATATCCCTTGATAAAACAGTACTATACATTAATATGTCCCCTGATAAAACAGTATTATACATTAATATATCCCTTGATAAAACAGTACTATACATTAATATATCTCTTGATAAAACAGTACTATACATTAATATATCCCTTGATAAAACAGTACTATACATTAACATATCCCTTGATAAAACAGTACTATACATTAATATACCCCTTGATAAAACATTATTATACATTAATATATCCCTTGATAAAACAGTACTACACATTAATATATCCCTCGATAAAACAGTTTTATGCATTAATATATCCCTTGATAAAACAGTATTATACATTAATATATCCCTTGATAAAACAGTATTATACATTAATATTTACCTTGATAAAACAGTACTATACATTAATATTTACCTTGATAAAACGGTATTATACATTAACATATCCCTTGATAAAACAGTACTATACATTAATATGTCCCTTGATAAAACAGTACTACACATTAATATATCCCTTGATAAAACAGTATTCTACGTTAATAATAATAGAAAATTCTGTTGTACCCTATCTTTTATATAGTCTCTGCTGACGTCATCTGGTACACGTCTTGGCGGAGGAACGGAAGCATAAGGTTCTGCGTATTCATGGTTATCAGGTCTTCTTCCTAGTAACAGAAGATAAATAAACTAATCATGCAAGTTATTGTTGATAAAACTCCCTCCTGTTTTTATTTTGTGACACCAGCCATTTAAACAAGCCTTACTTTTGGTAGAAGTCTAGTATACCAATCGTTTCTGATTAACTTTAACTCTGGTTCCACTTTGAAATACTAATATTTCTAGATAAATCCTATTTATAGTTCCACTTTGGGATGCCAATTGTTCTTCATAAACCTTACCCCCTGGTTCCACTTTGAGATGTCAATCGTTTTTAATAAACCTTACCTTTTGGTTGCACTTTGAGATGTCAATCGTTTTTAATAAACCTTACCTTTTGGTTCCACTTTGAGATGTCAATCGTTTTTAAAAAAGGTAAGGTTTAGGTTGCACTTTGAGATGTCAATCGTGTTTAATAAACCTTACCTTTTGGTTCCACTTTGAGAAGTCAATCGTTTTTAATAAACCTTACCTTTTGGTTCCACTTTGGGATGCCCATCTTTCTTGATAAACCTTACCTCCTGGTTCCACTTTAGAAAACCAATCATTCTTTCTTGATAAACCTTACCTCCTGGTTCCACTTTAGAAGATCGATTGTTCTTTCTTGATAAACCTTACCTTATGGTTCTACTTTGGGAGGCCGATCGTCCCCGATGACTTTCAACTCTGCTTCCATCTTGAGATGCAAGTCGTCGTACTTGATAAACCTTACCAATGTATCAAGTTTGGGATGCCAATCGTGGGTAACAAACTTACTTTTATTTTGATATGTTTCTGGTCTATATAGACCTTACTTTTGACTGTACATTGGAATGGTAGTCTTTCATGATAAAACACACCTCTGGTCCCAATGTGGGACCTCAGGATGGGTCTTCTAGTTGGAGATGAGTAGTAGCTCTGTCGTTCTGTTCCCGTTTTGGTGGCACCTGTAAGCTTTTCCGACAAGTCTCCCATTACAACATTTTCGTCAACTGACTGCTTTCCTCTCTGGCGCCCTGGAATCACATACTCTTAGTTAGAAGGAAATAATTAATATAACTTAAGAAATACGATTGACGATTGTTGGAAAAAATTACGTTATAATTTTGTTTGCCAAAGTTTTACTTTAACAGAATGTGATAAACGAGGTACTTGCCACTCTCTGAAGTACATCTTGTGCTTCCCTCTGACGGGTGCTTGCGTAAGCAGACTACTACGATGATGATGATTAGGATAATGACAAATGCAGACACAACAACAGGTACAATAAGTATTAGATTCTTATGGAAAGGCAAGGCACGACCCTTGTGCTTAATCGTCGAAGAAGCAGTGGCAACTAAGAATGGAAAGGGAATGGTAAAAAATTTCAATGTAGAAACATAACAATGATCTTGGACTTTCTTTTACTATAGAGATGAAACATAACAATGATCTTGGACTTTCTTTTACTATAGAGTCCAAGATCATTGTTATGTTTCATGTTTCTTTTACTATAGAGATGAAACATAACAATGATCTTGGACTTTCTTTTACTATAGAGATGAAACATAACAATGATCTTGGACTTTCTTTTACTATAGACATGAAACATAACAACGATCTTGGAGTTTCTATTAATATAGACATGAAACATAACAATGATCTTGGACTTTCTTTTACTATAGACATGAAACATAACAATGATCTTGGAGTTTCTTTTACTATAGACATGAAAACATAACAATGATCTTGGACTTTCTTTTACTATAGATATGAAACATAACAATAATCATGGACTTTCTTTTACTATAGACATGAAACATAACAATGCCCTTCGACTTTCTTTTACTATAGACATGAAACATAACAATGATCTTGGACTTTCTTTTACTATAGACATGAGACATAACAATGCTCTTGGACTTTCTTTTACTATAGACATGAAACATAACAATGATTTTGGACTTTCTTTTACTATAGACATGAAACATAATAATGATTTTGGAGTTTATTTTACTATAGACATGAAAACATAACAATGATCTTGGATTTTCTTTTATTATAGAAATTAAAACATAACAATG